TTTTTTTTTCTAATAAACCAAAGATCAAATCTCTATGATATTCGATCGCAACTCTAGATAAAAAATAAAATAAAATATACAAGGCTTTGCCTCATGGTTTTATCTTTAATTCTACTCCTTATGATCAATTTTTGTCAGCCAATCATTATTATGTATTTCGAATATATTTTATCAAGTATTCCATAGAAAAATAAAATTATTAAATTTTTTTTTTATTGAGTTAAATTTTGACATTAAAAATGCGCTATTAGTTTTAATAAGTCTTTTTAAAAGTAACATAAATATCTATTAGATATCCATCGTCTGTAAGATATTAATATAGTCATCTATTATAGTAAAAACCACTGTGATAATTGTAATAAAATGGAGGTTGGTAATATGGAATTGCATTACCATTATACAAATTACCATAATGCAGTGGAACATGTTCATGATGGTCATGTGCTATAAATTCATCTTCTGATTTACGACGTTCCTTATGTTTAGCTATTGCATAGGCAGCTAAACCAGCAGCACCTGCAGCAAGTAACAATGGCATTTGATGTTGAGATTTGTGTTGTTTAATACTTATACATACATATAAATATATATATATATATATATGCACAAAAACAGAAATGATGAAAAGTAAATACAATGATAATAGCGTAGGTAGAAAAAAAATATTTCTTATTCATGATTCATTAATAACACTTATTCATCAACGTGTAATGATAATAACTGTGTCACGTTGTATTCATCAATATAGCTTCATATTAACTATTCTGTACATGAAATACCTTGCAAAATAATATCAGATATACTTCTGTATAAAAACAGATGAGTAATAGATGATTAAAACAAAATATTGCTAATGTGGTCTGTCATGATTTAACATTTTTAATTGTATGTTAACAAATAAATAAAGTCTACTGAAATGAAATGTTCTAGGTTTAGTTATTGTCTTCTTTCTATACGACATAATGTACGATACATTAATACTTTTTTCTTCAATTACCTTACTGTTTGATTTCATCAGATGACATATGAGTGTTTCCATGGGATTTCTATCACTTTTACGTGAAGTATGTCCTATCAACGTGACAATTTCAACATTTATAGAGCTCAATGAGACGATCATTTTGATGTATTTTTGTTGTAGAAAATACTTTGGCATCTATGATTTCCAAAAGTCAACTTTTCGTGGCTTTTTTATCGTATAAAATTTTACAGACAATTTTTAGATGCTTTTTTATTCCTTTTTCTAAGTGTTTATTATGTGTAATTTCTTAATCACACAGCTTTCTTAAAAGGCTAGTTTTATTCAGCTTTAAATGTAGTATCTAGGACAATATTGCTTTGAATTCTGAAACTACTTTGGAATGAATGCAAGAGGGTGAAAAGTTAAGTGACCTCCACTTATGAGTATTTCACAATCGTGAAAAGTGGCTTACATTTCAATTGACAAAAAGTACAACTTTTGGAATTTTTCGAATAACTGAAATATTGGCAAAGATAGAGCACGACTTGCTCTACAAAATGGCATACTTTGTTTTTCGGGGCAATCAAATTTACTAAAACAGCAAAGGAAATACATTTGGGCAGATTTCGATATTTTCAACTTATTTCTCAATATTCAATTACTAGTGACCTAACAAATATTAGAATATTTAGCTTAGTACATTCATAAATTTGCAATCTCAGAAGCAATTAGTTGCAATCGCACATTGCTTCTAGTACCTTTTTCTCATATTTTCCATCTAGACGATATATGAAAAGTGTTCAAAACGAAGAAACGGTAATGAAATTTTAACATAAAGTAATAAATATGCAAGAATGAAAATTAAAGTTTATAATTGAAATGAATACAGTTCGATGATGTCGATATTGTTCTACATGACATTGATTCATTCAATTGAAGATTAAATTGATGATAATTTCTAGGGTGTGGGTATGTGTGTTAGCGTTGATATTGCTGGAAACTACACTCACACCCACACCCACACCCACACCCACACCCACCCACACCCACCCACATCCACACCCCACACCTATACACCCACACCACCCCAAAACCACACCCGCACCCCTTCTGGAAAATGTTTTTCAATTCCTTCCAGCCAAAAAGGCTAAAAAGTGGGCTAATGCTACTTCAACATGACTTCAAAACTCGTGTTTTGACCTGAATCGCACTTCATTCTCTGTTGGAGCGCCCCCAATCATAGAAACCCTAGATCCGCCATTACCATCATCCTAAAGATAGTGAACCAAAACTACCTTTCATTTAAGTCTATGCTCCAGTGTGGACAATTCAATTCATAAGTTCGACATTTTTTATTTATGAGAAATTCACGAACAACCAACTACCAACAACACATATCTCGATAAACTACTGCTCCTTCTCGACCACATTTAAATCAAATGCGGGCTTCAGAATTTGCTCAGTCTTATGCGAATGAGATCAGAGAGAACAATGAGAAAGAAAAATTTGAATAGGGGTCATGTAGCGCTACACTCATCGGAAATAAAACTGATCGATTTTTCATTTTTATTTTCAAAATAATCGATTGCTTTCCTATTATCCTACAGAACCCATTTTACATGAGTAACTAGTGACATCAGTCGGAGATGATCAATGCTCACCCTCATTTCCGAATCTCTTTCATTTGTCTTATCGAAACAAACAACGATAGTTTCGAATATTAATCTATCAGCACAGGCGTTTTCTGAATTGCTTTCAGCAATGAAAATGCTCTCTTAATTAGTCAATATAGGTGTATTACAATCTCATTATACCGTTTTGTAAAAACCAAATACGCTAAAAGCATCTGAGAAAACTAATGTTATTTGAGTGAAAAATTAATGATACATTAGTTTTAGCATTGATCATGACGAATGTTCTTTTAATCAAAGATTAATTATATGTAACACCAACATCGGAAATTACTAATGTTCTCATAGTAGGTTGCTTATATGTATCACGAGATCGGACGAAATGTATGTGACGGAGGATATGAAACAAGATGTCATGTGACGAAAAGCATGGTCACCATACAACAAATAACGTTCCCTCTTATATCCAAATATTTTCTTCTCTTTTCTGTCAAATTCGTAAGATGTCTGTTTGTTGCGTAAGAATTAAGCAACATCGTTCTTTCGTCAAATAAACTCACCTTCATTTTGCATTTTCCTTTTTGTCTTGTGAATGATGCTTGCACTCCGTTGCCTAAACAAAGCATGGTTAGATATGGAGATAGATCCACCGTGTGGTATCACTGCTGTCCTAGTCGATAACAGCTTGTTTCATTGGGAAGCAACGATCGTCGGTCCATCAGATACACCATTTCAAGATGGTCTCTTCGTTTTGGATATAGAATTCCCTTCTGACTATCCATTCAAACCTCCAAAATGTAAATTTAAAACTAAAATGTTTCACCCAAATATTTTTTCCAATGGAGACCCATGTGCAGACATTATCGGACAACAATGGAGTCCTGCATTATATAGGGTACAGACAATACTGCTGTCTATTCAATCTCTACTGGACGATCCAAACGTGGAAGAAGCCGCTAATTTTGAAGCAGCTCTTTGCTATAAAACAGATCGAGACAAGTACAATTCGATCGTTCGAGACTACGTCAAGAAATATGCTACGTAACTCTGAAGAACATGGCACCTTCTAGCTATTGACAGTTACAGAAAATTTCAAACTGATACTAGTTTTCATTTGCTTTCTGATTTCTGATTTCTGTATTATATCGGAAACAAGAAAAACGAACTTAATGAGGGTGTGGGTGTGGGTGTGTGAATTGTGTGGGTGTGGGTGTGTGGATCGTGTGAGTGTGGGTGTGAATGATGAAAGTACTCACACCCACACCCACCCAAAATAGTCTGCTCTGAATCAGCAAAAAAAACTCTAATAATCTTGACTATATTTTCAGTGAAAATGACAAATACAAACATATAGTACACAATGGATGAAAATGAAAAAGAGAAGAAAAAAAGCAACAAAAGACGCTCATTTCTTTTTTTCATCTTGTTTTGGTAATGTCCAATTATTCTCTGTGATCCATTTCTTTTCCTCTCTACTAAGTGATCTTCCGTCATGTTTCCATGTTCCATCTTGATTTAATACATGTCTACCATCTTTAAAATGAATATGATCCTGTGGATCACCTCTAGTAGGATAAGCTTGATCAACACGGTCAACTGTTCTAGGTGAGTGTCCACGTTGAACTTGTCGCTGCATTTGATTTGCTGGTGATGGTGATTGTTCACGTTGTTGATTTCCTGATGATGATAATGATGTATTTTTATCTTTTTCTCGTAATCATCCACGTTCTTGTTTGTTGCGTTTGTTTCTGAGACATACTTCACGGTAGCTCCCTTCAGTGTTAGTTAGTTAATTCACAAATGAAATGAGTAAGGAGATATGACTATATTTATCTTATTGCTTTAAACTTGGTTTTTTCAAAAAGAACAAAAATGGAGAAAATACTCATCTGTTTTTTTTTAACAATCGAACAAAGAAGAAGCAGGGATGTTAGTCATAGGCCTTTAACGTTGTTTCTTTTCTTCCTTTCTCTTTCTTTTCTTGTCTTCTACAGCAAATAGAGAGTAAGAAAGTTATTGCACCACGTATCAGAGATATTATATCACAGAATACTTACACCACGTGCACCCCTATTTTTCTAGTAGTAGTTCTTTCTACGTTTTTTCTCCTATACACAGTAGAGTTTAAACCTTTAGTGGTAGAGCTCAGCTTCTCTTGGCCTTACCTTGGCTACACTACTACAATCTATATTATAAACAATACACATTACATTTTTACATGTACGGTATTGATTGGAACTCAAATTATTAAAACATTTAAAAGACTTTATCTCTCATAGAGTATTTATAAAGCTTCGTAATTTTTGTATGTTATTGTTTAATATCAATAGTCATGAATACAACATTATTTTGGGACATTTATTAAGAATGTTCCATCTTACTATTTGTTTAACTCTATTTTAGCAAAACTCAATGGAAATAAGAAATTCTAAAACAGTTTCATCTTCTAAAAGACTCTTTCCACCATTACTTAATCCAGCATATTTATTTGGTGTGAGGATGAAGATGATGAGGAAGAGAAGACCCTCACCCTCAAGAATTCATTTGATAGGTTCTCTATGTAAGTGATTGGTAATAAAATGTAAAAATATGATACGTCAAGTTATTCATAATATTTATGCAATATAAAACTTCGTAATTTCTTTGTCTCCTCGTTAAAGAACTGACTAAGGGTGTGGGTGTGGGCGTGGGTGAGAAGAAGATACCCACACTCCACACCCACACCCAGCCACCCACACTCACCCTCTTTTTTTATATGTCACATCTTTATTCATTTACTTTTCATATTAATACTTATGATGATACTTATGTGCCTAGTCAAGATATTCAACGAATTGCTACAAATACTGGACATCAACAAAGTATGGTCAATATCATAAAATATAGCAGTGGCCGTCAAGCTGTATGTTCTATCTTTTCACTTCCTTCTGTATTTGATCAGCTTCAAGATATTGACAATATATTTCCAGATATTGTATTCAAATATGTTACGAACTTAGTGGTACAAGATGTCGTTCCATTCAATCATGAATTCTTTCTGCGGGTTGTCCGATCTTTTCCATTATTGGATAAACTTGGTGTTATAAATCTTAAATTACAGTTATCGTGCAATATTAACTCACTTTTAACTAATGGTAGCCAATCATATTCAGTCGCTAAATATCTTCATCTTACCACACTTAACATTCCTGAGAGGTAACGCTGTGGTTTCAGATAGTTACAGCAACAAATTTTATACCAAATTAAAATGCATTAAAAATGGGATTTGTTTGTATTAAATAGTAAAGATTATAGACACCTTTTAGTGTCGAATTCAGAAAACTTCTAGAATTTCACGGCATATAGGTGTAGAAAAATCTCTTTCATGAGGCAGTTTACACTAAATCTCATGTGAAATAATGAATATGACAAAGTAATCGACACTTGATCTGGAAACTCATCTGATCTAATTGTGAGTGAACGTATTAGAACAATTGTCAAAAATGAAGTTACGAAAAATTTTTCCCAGAGATGTAAGATGATCGTTATTGCAGGGACACACTAAAAAAAAGAGATTTTACGGTGACGATCTTTGATAGAAGAAGTGTCAGCGCTGATGGAGCTATGCTTTATTATATTTCTTCCTATCGAGAATCGCCTCGCTTCTATACAAAACACATGCTTATATACTCGTCTAGATGAGAGAGAAGAAAAGGATAAGGAAGGAAGGAAAGAATAATAAGACAGAAGTTAAGAGCAATATGATAGGGACAAAGTACAACATGATGTACGAAGTAAGGACAAAAATATAAGGACACAATAAGAACGGGTCAAACATCATGTATACAGAATGCACTTAATCGGGAGCGTTACATTCACATGTTTCTTTTGATGGCAAAATATGTTCATGTCATTATATCACCAGATATTGTTATATAATGTTCAATATTTAATGGTACAGCGATATAAAGTTCTATGTCGAGATCAAATAATTTATTCAAAATTCAAGGGTAATTACACTTACCTATCGATGTGATCGACACTCGATGAGTAGCATAGTATCTATCAATTTTTTTCATTAATAATTGAACATTTCGATTTGTGATTGAAGGAAAATAACCACAGATATCGATGATACATGGTTCAACGAAGTTTGATGGGTTACCAATTGCTCCACACATAACGGCATATTGTGAATCTGTGGGTTGTTGAATAGGTGTATGAGAAAACGTGCACCTGGTGTGCAAAGGCGATCAAACAATCGATCGATAATCGCGCGTTGCTTTCTTAGATAAAAAACGCTATTTGGGTAGTTGACACACAGACACTTTTTTCAGAATAAAATATTCAAAGTTCCCAACTTGAAGCAGAGTATCATGCCATATTATCACCAATTAATTGCGGCCAGTGTATTTTTGTGCTTTGGGATGGTGGCTTGTCAATTGATAATACCTACTCTGCCAGACACTGTCTCACTCGCTGAGAACGAATTAGGATGGGTGTCTTCCGGCTTAGCGGTGCACATCGATTCAATTCAGGATAGCCGTTGTCCGGCAAAAGTCCAGTGCTTCTGGGCCGGTCTAGTTGAAGTCAAGGTGTCCCTATCAATGGGCACAGACTCTCGTTCGGTTAATCTGATTCTGCAACCGGGACAACAGCTCGATACAACTCAGGTTACCTTAGGAACGGATACATACAAAGTCATGCTTCAAAATGTAGTGCCCTATCCTGGTCTTGGCTCAACTGTAACGCAAAAAGCCACTGTGCAAGTAACACCGATGTAGGCTTCCGATGGCGTTTTATATTCCAGTCTACTGTTACATTGCGACTTTTTTTTTGTATTCAAGTCACTTGTTAACATTAAAAATTTGATTGGAAAGAGAAGAAGAAACATATTGTTTTTATCACTGAAGTGCAGTATTGCGTTGAATAACAATCCAAATAAAGTTTAGCACTGGAGATATTCCATAATCAAATAAATGCGAAAACCTCGGATTTAAATCCGAGTGTTATGTGTACTTCAAAAAGTGAAAAGGTTTATTCACTTTGTTTTTTATTTGCTCAAAAATAGAATCAATCACACTGTCAAGCTTTGAAATTGGTCATAGCAAGGTCTTGTTTCATATTGAATTTGATACAATATAATTCTAAGAATAATTATCAATTCTATACCACTGTTCATACATGTATATAAATACTTGCCACTTGATAATCTTTATCAATAAAAGTGAAAATACCTCTATGTATTTGTGGTAATTTGTCTCACTCACCCTCACACCCTCACCCACACACTCACCCTCATACCCACACTCACACCCACACCCACACCCGTATGGGTTGGTTTAAATGTGCACGTAAATCATGCAAAAATTCATATGCTTGTCTATGGAAATAAAGTCATGTGATATGGATATATCTTGAGATCTGTGCATGTCAAGCACATGAAAAAAAGAAGTTTGACTAGGATTGCATATTTTTGCATGCAATACTAAAATGCATGTTCATGCGCAACTTTTCATGTGTGTCAACGTGAACGTAGTTGACTCTGCAATGCATTCACAAACATGTCAAGTCGAAGCAGATCATGTATGTACATGCATCTTTTTTAATTTTCACATTTGACTGGGTGACGGTTTATCAAGATAAATGGAGTCCTGAACTCGAGCGATGAAACCGCGGTGAGCTGCCGGTATCTTGGCGATTTTTATCATATAGGAAGCTAACAGTGTTTTCTTCGCAAATAAAGTTAATAAGTTTAACGAAATATTCCAAAAAAACCCTTCTAGAATAAAATACAAATCTTTTCTAGTGACATATTTTCGGGATATAACTTACTCATCTACGCAGTACATTACATTAAAAACAAGGTATTTTTCTCCAAATTTTAAATTATTTTGTTGTATGAGAACTTCAAATGAAGAACTCAATGCTGAATTAAAGTTCAAGAACTTGCTCCAATTCATAAACTTGAAAAAGAAATTTTCATTGATATACGAAACGTTTGCAGAATTAATGATGTCTCTTCTAATATTATTTTATTGAAATTTCGTTTACGGATGTTGCTTGCCACTATTTTTCTTTTGCAAAAATGATTAAAAATAAATTCTTCTGTATTCTTAGTAATGAAAAAAGTAACAGTAATCTTATTTTAGTCTTTTTTCTTTATTATTGAAGATGAATATCGTATTAAGCAACTGTGTACACAAAAAGTAGTACTTTAGTCGCTCGTTGTATTGCCACGTGTAACACTTATCTTGCATTGTAAGAATAAAATTGCAATATTGACATTTATAACCATGTCTTTACTCCTCTATTTCGTCGATTGGTTATTTTACGCTGCAAAATTTTTGCTTATCTTTTTTTCCCTCTTTGCTTTTACCTTGAAAGCTGAAACGAAATGGAGAAAGAGAAAACGTGAAGGAGTTCTTGAATATATTCAAGAAGAATAAATATTCTCATGAACGATCAACTATACATACTCAAAATTTTCGAATCAAGTTCTGATAGAAACATATGATATATTTATGAGTACTTTTAGAAATCTACTTTGTCTTTAGACTCTTTGCAGTAGACTTCTTTCAGTTATGTATAAAAGAAAAAAAATGCATAACTACGATGAAAGTTGATGACACATTGTCAATAAAAATATTGATATAAAGAAAGGCAAATTTAAAGAGAAATTCACTTTAACGACATATACTATTCGAAAACAAGCAACATATATGGCTAGCAACGTTACTTTATCTTTTTTGGTATTGCCTGTCGAGATTGTCTATCGTATTCTGGATAACCTCAATGATTTCACGCTTATATGCTCAGTTCGTAATGTATGTACACGGCTAAATATGATCACTGATACATATCCTCGATATCAGGTAAATTTCACCTTTATCATTCAGTCAGATTTTTATCATGCGCAAAATATCACTTAGTTCAACCGATGATTATTTCATTTATTTTAGTTGTTGATTTTAGAATAATAAAAACTTCAGGTTAATATTTTGACGTCGATGAATGTTACCTAAAAGATAATAATTATTGAGTTATTGAAGCTATTTCCAAGGATTTTACTGAGTTTCTGATTTTTTCTGCAATATTTTATCAAACAGAAAACAAATTTAATAAAATTTAAAAACACATCGAATGTTTTTGCATCACAGTTTTGATTTCCTCCATCAGTTATAAGAAGAACCTCTTCATATGAATTGAATTGAAAGTCATAGGAGAGGCGTAGTTGAATTTCATGAACTATATCCTTCTGCAATTTCTGTAACTTAAAAATTAATTGAAGGGGTGAAGCCATCAAAGTAAATGAAACATAGTTTTAAGAAGTTCCAGATCCTAAACAATTGTAACAACTATTAGAAACTGAGGACATCCAAAAATGCTCTGAAATCATCACAGTTATACAATCGTTCAAAGAATGCCAGTAGACGCTTATCGTCAAAGGAAATGAATAAGAAGTGTTTTGAGTATATTTTTACTCTGACACTTATCATAATCTTTAGATCAAGTGAATGAAATGTTTTTTTTTGTAAATCGGTGTTTTCTGAAAGGAACCTTTCTTAAGGAAAGATGAATGATTTATTTGATTCATGGAACGATCGGTTGATACTATGAACTTCTTGAGTTCATAATTCTTCTCATATAACAAGTAATTTCCTAGCTAAAGTGAATATAGGCCTTAAACAATAATGAATAGGATGTTTTATATGAGATTTCAGATGATTTAATCAATCTATCTACTTCCAGTGTACATAGTTTCTTTTTTATCGAAAAGCGTCTATTTTTAATCTGGCGCTTATATGGGTGATTGCACTTCTTTGTTTGAAAACATCCATTCAGTTCTAATTGATCACTAATCTTTCTTAAAAAATTAATAACGAAAATAATGAGAAAAATATCAATCGGATTCGATCCAACTCATCCTGTTACAGAAAAAAAAACAGATTTGTATAATCCAATCCCATGTGTTATTTACTATTGATAGTGCTGTGAAAATTCATAGAATCACCTACCGACTTTGACTTCTTACGGATTTTTTTGCTGAGTAATAGTACTTTTTCGTTCTAAATTCATAGTCAATACATTGGTTCATAGTTGCTCTTTCGGTTTTTATTGCAAGAAATACTGAGAAGTCAAAGCTGATGGGTGATTCTATAATTTTTCTCAGCATTGTATGTTTTAATTTTCTTCTCTGTACAATGTATTTATTTTTCTCTTGTTCCACTCTAGTCACCTTTTCTGTATTTCATCATTTCATACATGTTCAAAGGTCATTTCGTTTTTTTCTTCACAAAACTACGACAAAAACTAGATTGTATGGAATAAAATGACTCATAAAAGTTCTATATTTGTAGACTTGATAACAACGGTTTAATTGATATTCGAAACATCAGAATTCCGATCACGCAGTGCTTCTATCTAAGTTAAACGAGCGAAAACCGATCGTTACCAACATTAGCTAAATAATTTTATCATGAAAGTATCCTTCAGTTACAAAAAAATTCTATTTGAAAGAGTACATAAAACAAGTCTAAAAGAAACAATAAGCAGGAATTATTTAAGAATCTCGAGATTAATTATTAACAATAGACGTTATTTCTCTAATATCATATAGAGCATTATAAATTGTAATGTCGTTGTGAATCATCAAAATTCATCATCCCGAAATATTCTTATGAGACTAAATAAACAGCTATCAAAAAAGTTTTGCATTTATTCAAGAATATTTAAATAATAGTATATGTCTGCATCATTTTATTACACATTGGCAACGAGCAATCGTTTTTATAAGGAGTACAAGCAAGCATTAAAATACCTTCTCTATTGCTATTCTTTTCTTTTTTCTTATCTGTATAACAAGCGCCAAAATCAGGCCACTTTTTGATGACTCAGCGCGGCTCAGCTTAGAATGACACCATTCAAAGTGACTTGCTTTTATGAAAAATATTTCCAAACAATTAATCCCTACAATCACTTCAGTCATTAAATTAGAACATTGTAAAAAGTTTATTATCATAGTAATCATGATTTGAATAAGGTTGAACCATTTCAATGCTAGAAAAAAAATAACATGAGAGACAAGTCTAACTACTTATTGAACGAAAAAAACAAAATGTATTCCTGGATATTCTAACGTTTTGAAGATTATCATTTATTAACATAAATTTTCACGAGT